CTGGCTAGGGAGTCAAGGGAAGAAGGAGCACAGTACTCCCCTTTGCTGAAGGGTAAGCATCTTCTGGGTTTCACTAAGAGAGTTAGGTATGGTTAAGCTCACAAACCTGTTACCTTGCTATATTAATGTGGAACGGAGAACTTCATATGAATAAAGACATGCTAGTTCCTTTCAACACACACACACACACACACACACACACATACACACACACACACACACACACACACACATATACACACACAGAGCCGCACATACACCCTTTATGCAGTAATACAGTAAAGCATGAATCTGAACTGTAATGGAATCCGATGCCTTGAGTGGAGCCACACAGCAGCCCAGTGCTCTTTTCTGGACTCTGCGGGCTGGGAGGGGTAAAGTAATAAGGAAATGCACACTCTCTGCGACCAGAGCACACCCTCTTGGCAGCCTGTGGGGAGCCCAATTGCTCCTACAAAGCCTGTGGAACTCCTCTGTCCAAAGTCTTGTTGGTACAGGGAGAGCTGCTTCCTGTTCCCAGAGTGTTTCACCCTTGAGCTTTCCTATCCCTTTTCTCTAAAGTTGGCTACTCCTGTGTCCTGTCCCATAAAACTCTGAACTGAGGTCTCGGACTTACGTCATGTCAGTCACAGCAGGGTGAGGCTCTGCATTCTGGTCCCTGGGGCTTTACTCCTGAACTGAGTTTGCAGCTCATTATGTGATTGGACAGTCCACACTCCTTAATGTATCAGCTTTGGGTCAGCAAGCATGGAAGTCAGTGTGCAAACACTGCAAACCTCACATGTCTGCACACCACTGAAGAAACCCTTTGCACAGCAGCCAGCCCCTGAACCAGCCCTGTGCCTCCTTTGCATGGAAATAGATGAATATCCACAGTCCAAGGTCAACGGCCTGCTGACAGATGCCTGCACCAGGGGATTTTTTTTAAAATGAAGTTTCCTCCAGCTGCTCTGGTAGCTTGGGTAGCACTGTGATCTGCCCAAGTTGTCCTGCTTTGGTTCTCTGATATCCTGAGACCAATAGGCTTGGGGTAGGGGCAGAGAGAGAAGGATTTACAGACAGAACCTTAAGCTATCACAGATGGAACTCTTAGAAGTTGGATACCTTGCTCACCACCATAAAGAATAAAGAAGATCCAAATCCAAGTTTCCCGACTGCCAGTTCATGGCTATTTTCATTCCACAACAAAAATGGAGAGTCAGAACTGTTCATTTTATTGTGAAAGTGATCCAAAGCCTTGTGCTATGATGGGGGTTGGGGGGTGATGATGGAGTCCTACCAGTGCTGTAAACAAAGTTTTCCACGCTGAACTTAGAAAATAAACAGCAGGAAAAAAATCAGGGAGAGTTGCCCCTGACAATACCATGTCCATCAAATTGGACGTGCTCCAAAGGGATCAGTGGCAGACTTACCGACTGGGTCCAAGTTGAAGTTCCAAGCAGTCTTGGTTGCCTTCCCTCCACTGCAATGAAAGAAACATTGTGTTCTCCCTCTGGGGCCATGCACTCTCTTGGGATCGCTGGTTTTACCACGTTCCACCTTACTTTTACAAAGACAATAATGCCTTTTTCCTGTATTTAAGTTTATTTAAGTAAACAAGAAGGAGACAGAGGAGAGCTGTTGTCTCCTTTACAAAACAAGACTAACATTTTTATCTAAAGAAAGAAAGCAAAAGATCTGTGTTCTGTCTTGTTCCATAAGATAAGTTCATAAGATAAACAGTTCTATTTTGAATTAAGTTCAGCTGGGCAAACTCCCCTGTTTCCCACTACCCACCCACATCATGAACATCAAAAGACTTCTTAAGTGGATCAAAATGTGTTCAAAAGGTTTCAAGGACTGGTCCTGCACTGTCAGTACACTCCTGCAGAGGACCTGGGAGAAGACCATTGTATGATTTTACTGGTAAAATGATCATTGCAAAACCCAAGCATTTATTCTGGGGTGAATAGATAGATACTCCTTGGGGGCTACAGAAAGCAAACAGGTCATCTGAATATGGGGGTATTTCTGGAACCCCATCTCTTGGATTATTTGTAGTTAATGAAATAATAAATTTATAAAAACGGTATAGCTAATGAAATTAACTACCTAACCACCAGTCCATACCAGCGCTTTGTCCTGGTCCATTTCTGCTGACAGTATCACCAAACTGTTATCTACCTGGGATTTAAACTCTTCCCCATTCGTAGCCTGTCCCACATAAAATTAATTGCCAACTTTTCCTGATTCTCTCCATCTTAGTAACTCCTGTTTGTCACAATGTCTCTTACCTGCACAGTCACAGTTCTTTCCTGATATCCCAGTCGATTCTTCCTTTCGCTGTATTCACTTTCCCCAAAGCAGTCCAACACTGTTAAGCCAGGCCACTGTTTATAATGCAAAGCTGATGATGGCATCCTATTCAAAACCACCCTGCTCTTAAAATAAAGTCCAAACTCATCATTTAGTCAATAATATGACCATGAATCATTTCCAGTCTTACTTTGGCTGTTTTCTGCCTGCCCCACGCACCATAAAATTCAGCTGAGCAGGCTAGTCACCATTCTCTGTAGAGCCTTGGACTTTTCAAACCCATGTTTGTGTACCACAGACTACTCCGTCTACCTTAGAATCACATTCTCTCCCTCGTTCCTTATAATGTCGTCACATGCCTGTCAGCTGTGACGGGTCCAATCCCACTCACCTCCCCAACACACAGGTCTAGACCAGAACTGTCCACGTCTCCCTGGGCTGTAGAGCCCTTGCTGTGCGCCCCGGCTCAGGGGCCTGCACTGCTGTATCATGCCTTTCCTGTTATGGACTGTAAGCTCTGAGAGCTGAGGTCTCATTTTTGCCACAGCTTCTGCATCGGCCTAGCTAGAGTGTTCAGTAATTTTCTGGCTTCCAAGAGGAAGTGAAGGAACTGACGTGCTCCTTGAAGGTACTGAATGGCCTGGGAGACCCCTGAAATGTCTCTCCTGCTTCAGCATCTTCTCGGGACTCTCTGGGTACCAGCCTATGTCAGTCTTAGCCTCAAACACAGCCAAATCTGCTTGATAACACAGTTGTCTCAATGCCCACAGAAGCTTAGCAGACAAAGCACAAAATTTAATCATTAAATTCCTTTTTGGTGAACTAAGGGCAGTACCCTAATAGGTACTTATTTTTAGGGTACTTCCAAAATGAAAGCCAATAACAGTATGCCTCTCTGCACACAAAGAAATGCGATCGAAGCTCAAGGTGGAGCATGCACAGTATCTTAAAAATAGTAAGTAAAGCAGTCCTTAGCACACAGTAGAGGCCTCTAGGTGCATACCTTGGCTCTTTTCTCTACTAGCATAGATCCTCCAACTCACTCACCATAGCTGAGTCTCAGTGCCTTCCACGGTAAAACATGAGCACTGACACCTGGGCTGTGGTCTGTGTGGTTCATGTGATAGATGCTTGATGAGTGTTCATGTGCTCCCTCCCCTTCACTCTGAGTCACTGGGTATGTCCAGGCACAGTGAGGGGGCAGGTTCTGGAGTTAAGCCTGGCAGAAGGGCATTCCCTGGGGGACAAGGGTGTGCATCTAAGGGATCAGTGTTATCCCCTCTTTACACATGTGGATCTTAGGACATTCCAGGGCCTGGAAATTGGTCAGTAAATAGAAAAATGCATTTATATCGAAAGCACATCCCTTGTCCCACCTATCACTGCTACATCTTTCTAGTTAATGTCTTAGACCTCAGACAAAAGTGCCTTGGAGTGTGTGCATTGGAGGGTGGGGGGTTCACTAACTTGACCTGTTATCCAAAAGGAACATAAAAGCACAGTTCGATTTCCAAAATGCCCTTAATTTCAGAACACAACTGCAGACACACCCTTAAAAGAAGCATTAGCAAGGAGAGAAGCTGGCCCACTTCCCAAAGCTCACTGAATTCTGTTGTGCTGGGTGATGACCGAGATTGGTGTGTGTTGATTGGACAGAGAACTGGCATCCTCCAGGCTTCTGGAAACCAGCCAGCTCAACCGCACCAAGCAAAAGCAAACTGAAAGTAAATATGGGCAAGTAACCGAATGCATATAGGGGCAACTCTTCCCCAAGTGCAAAGCTTATGTGTTCTCAAAGGAGACATTTCCAGGACTCCAACAGCAAAGTGAAATTGCCAGAACCTTCAGCTTCTACTGAAGGGAACTGTGCCAAGGATCTCTTTGCCCTGATAGTCACTATTCCTCTTGTTTGTTTCCACCGGGATTCTCCCCTCCCCTAAGTGTGTCTTAGTTCTAAGAAAAATAAGATGTTTTGAAGTTGGGGAATTCTCTCTGTCACAGTAAGCTTCTTATTCTGTTCTTCGTGATGATTTTGGTGGCCTCGGTTCTTTGAGATGTAACAGTCCAGGGAGCTATAAGTCCCACAGTACCCGGGCATCCTTAGATGAAGAGCATTGCTAAGCCAGCTCACTTGCCTTCAGGGTGAGAGGCCACCCAGGCTCCCGACCCTTATCTTTCTCCTACTCTTATCACTTAGAGGTCGATGTGACCAAAGTCTGCAGAGGAACCCACTCCCCATTCCCAAACCTCTCCAAACTCCCCCAGCCACTACTGGCACAGAACAGACATCACAGGTGAGTTCTTTTCTGCATCTTCACAGCATTACCGAGCAATGGTGTCAAAAAGGGGGCTCGGCACCAGGAAAACCTCAAAAATGAATGCTCACAACAGGACATAAAAAGAGAAAAACAAAGCAGGAGATTCTACTTTGGTGATCCTTTTAATAATTGGACTGTTATGGGTTCACATATGTAATTACAATGAATTATGTTCTCACAGAGGAAAATGTCGAGTAAAATACAACAGCATGGAAGGCATTTCCTCTCACCAAATTGTCTCCGATCCCTTAATGGTATTTAAGCCTTGTTGAGTACTTTGTGTACGGTCCCTATCGTGGTGATTTGCATCCCCCTCTCTCTCAGCTTTGCTGTTGGCTGCAGCTGGCAGCTGTCTCAGTCCGATTCTGGCTGAGAAAGGTAAGGATCTTTTCTTTCCTTGCTCTTTGAAAGATCTGGGAGAGAAATGTTGAATGTCTGCTGGGACTAGCGGTGGGAGGACTGATATCATTCATGCACTGCGAAGCTTTCAGGAAAGTTCTCCAAACTTAAAGGAATCTTCTGAAGCTCCATGCTTTAAAAAGAGCCAGAGAGATTTCCTCTCCCTTCTGAAAGGAGAGAGCTTCCGGAAAGAAGACTGGGTGCATTGTGATGAAATTTTGCACGTGGGGCCAGGTGTCCCTCAAGGAATTCTCCAGAGTGTTTAATACAGGATAGACACCTGGTGGAAAGAGGAATGAACATTCAAAGGCATCTGGCATGGGTCACCGTGAATTCTTTTTGAATTCTCACTTGAGAAGTCAAGTCGGCTAAAGCTGTCTGTGTCCCTGGTTGCAGCCATAGGTATCTGTTCCAGCGCAATTTCTGATCAACCCCCAAGCTTTCTACTTATTTGAACTGACCAGTGCAAATCATCAGCCATTTGAGTTTGGAGACCCTAGACAGTTAGGTAAGCACTATCCAGAAGACTGGGGTGAACAAGATACCTGAAGCTTCTGTGTTAGATGGGGCAGCAAACCTGCTCCCCCCTCTCTCCCAGGGGTCACAGCTCTGCTGGCTGTGCCTTCTTACCAGTTCTGCCCAGGGCTCACTCTGGGAAAGGCTGCCTCTCTCCTCAGTACAAGTTCACTTTGTGTACCTTTGGCTTAGGAAGCAAGAAAGCGTGGTCTTCAATAGGATAAGGTAATGCTCAGGGTGCTCTTGGGGTTATTGGCCATGTACTTGTTTCAAGAAAATGGCCTGTTCGGGGAAGTAGGGAGGACTTGCCACAAATGTGGGAGTTCTCAAATGGGAAGATATCTCTCTAGCTGATATAACCAAAGCCCCATATTCCCAGGGCACCTGTGACGAGTTCTGAAATAGCCCAGTTCTGAAGCTCCCCAATCTCAACACGCAGGGATATCACTTCTTACACTGGCTGCTCCTTTTCTGTCGGTCTCACATTTACAGCTGTGGAGATGGTGACAGTCTGGGCCTCCAGGTGGCCTGCAGGTACCCACTGTACCCAGCATGCTGGGACAGTCCACTCAGCCAGGACTCTGGGATTTCTCAGTGTAATCCTTTTCCATTTGAGAAAAAGGACTCCGGGTCTCTCTGTCATTATCATTAGATATTTTAGTAGACCGGGCTGGAAAGACAAGCATGTATCTTAAAACAGGTAGAACATTGGGGTGTTTGAGAAGATACAAGTCAGTGGCTAGAGAGATTTGACAGCCCCACAGATAGGAAAACAGAGTCCTTCCCTCGTTATTTAATGTGATGTGTAAATTCCCTGTATCAGCTACTGGGAGTTAATAACACTTGAACAGGTTAAAGAAGTGATGGATGGATAAATTTGAGAAATATAATGACAAGTTTATAATAATTTCCTAGTGTTAGCTCCAATTTTCTTTATCTTGGGGTTTATGCTTTTCAAGTACTTTAAGATTTCAAATAGCTTGTCCGTAAGCATATCAGGCCATTGATGGTGGTGGAGCTAGACATAAGTTTATTACTTGAGAGACTGTTGTGCCAAGTTGTGTATGTTTGAATATTTATGATATATTATTCCTTAAAATGAGTCAAAGAACAGCACCCTTGGTGTAGGTGGGCAGCCTGTTACTGACCTACATAATAAGAATCTACATTTAACAAGCTCCTTGTAAGCTTGTACTTACCATGATTAGGGTCCAGCCAGGCCTGGTCTGTAAGCCCAGTTGCTAAAAAGGAGGCAGAAAGATTTAAAGTTGAAGGTCAGCCTGTTTTAAAGAGTAAATCCCAGGCTAGCTTGGGCAGCTTAGTGAGAAGCTGTCTCAAAATAAAAAGTAGAAAGTGGACTGGGGTTATAACTCAGTGGAACACTTGCCTGTTGAGTGTGAAGCCCTAGGTTCAATCCCCAGAATAGGGGAAAAAAAAGAGAGTGGGGTTCAAACCAAGAATTTCTTTCTGTGTGAACTTTGTCAGATTTCTTTACCTCTCTGAGCCTCTACTTCATATACAAATGAAGGAGAATCAATGTTAATGGGTGACAATTCTTAATAGTATGCTTCACCTATAATAGGTGTTCTGCAATGGCAGCGATGTTAATGATGCTGACAATAACTTCAATATTACCAAACTACTCACCTCCTAGAACAAGAGGGAAGTAATTCTGTTTAAATCAAGATGTCCAGGCTTTCCCTGCTTAGCCAGACACATTAGCATTCCTCACCCTCTTTCATAAATGAATGAACATCAAATGGGGAGGGGGGATTAAGCTTCTGATGACCACCACACAGAGGAGTAAAAATACCAGGAGAGCTGGAAGGATGGGTTTCTGCCAGCAGAAAGGCTGAGATCAGCTGCCGGATGACTCCACTGCTGTTCCTGCCTCAGGGAGCATCTGTCCCCCAGTTCTGTCCCTCAGCTGGGTCTGCAACGCTGACTCTGGGATTCTCTTAGATTCTTTTATGAAAATGCCTGATGGGCGGGCTGGAGGAAGATCTGGAGTTTGGCTGGGGAAAACATGAGTAATTCAAAGCAGCCCACTTCATAAACGCTGCAAGAGAAAGAAAGGCCAGTGCTGGCTCCTGTCTCTGGGGACTCTGGAGCGATGGCCCTGAATTACCATGTCACTGATCAGAGCTGGGGGAAGCCAAATCTCAGAATCTGATGGCAGGGAGGGACAGATGGGAGAGGGAGTAAAACATGAGAGAGGGAGGGAAAGACAGGCTTTACTTGGGGGTGGGAGGGAGCTTTAAAGAAGAGCTCCAGGATTCAAAACCTAATCTTCAGTCAAGCATTTTCATGTCTTTTCTGTCCCCCCAGAGGCAGTCTCTGATCTGTCATTTCACTGACAGCCCAGCGGGTGACAGACCCTTTCCCAGAAGCTGAACGAAGACACTCAACCTTGGCTGATTCTTCCCTTTGAAGTCAAGCGGCTTCCCTGGTAATGGACTGTCTCTCTGTGAGGTATGTGTGAATAATCTGGGGACAGACATTTCTTTATAGGTTAAGGCAATCTCAGCGTTATAAGCAGGGAAGGATTTTTTTTTTCAGACAAAATGTCAGATAGCCTTTAACTGCTTAGCGGAAAAAGTATATTTTAGGGTATCACTGTACAACAGTTGTTAGTTTGCTGGTAATTAGAAAGTAAGTTACATGGGTAGACCACTCAAATACTCTCACTGCTCAGGAAGTAACAGTTTGATCTCCCAGGGTTGAGAAGAGTGAATATGGTTTGATTCAGGGTTGTGTTTATTTTGAATCAATGCTTAATATATTCCAAGGATTAATACCATCAAAATGATCTCAAGTGTCTTCCTGTAAATCCATAGTTACTGCAACTGCTCAGCTTCTCCAAGGTGCAAGATGGGGACTTACCATGTCTACACTGCAGATAAGACTTTCCCTGCTTTCTTAGACAAGCATTTCAACCAGATGCTTTTGCTCGAGGTCTTGAGTTTGGGCCTAAAAAAATTCACGTTCAAAATGTCTATAAAGGGGGCAAATTTTGTATAGAATGGAACAGCAGAAAAATGAATTTGCTACTTTTTATGACTATCTGTGCCTATTTGTGTAAAGCATCTCACAGCAGGCATGATACCAGAATTCCTTGATTGGTTTAATAGAAAATTTGGTAGATGACATCTAGTTACCTTAATATTTGATTTCATCCTTAACATAGAAAGACAAAAGATTATACTAGGTAAAGCAGTTGAGATGTCTTTTTCTTATTTTTCACTAATCCTGATTTGGTTGGAACCGATGTTTTATTTTCTAAACTACACATCTGCCATGGGGTAGGGGGATGGAAAGTTCCCAGGCCTACACTGTACCATGTATCATCCACCATGCATGGTGTTCTCCAGTTGATGGAGAAATGCATTATTTGTGTACCCATTGATTTCATGAGCAATGAATGGGGGATAGCTTGGAAAGAATGCTTGCTATGCTGGGCAACATTGGTAGGGTTTAAGTTGCTGTGAGTTGTGAAACTGTTGTAGGGGGATGGAAAGTTCCCAGGCCTACACTGTACCATGTATCATCCACCATGCATGGTGTTCTCCAGTTGATGGAGAAATGCATTATTTGTGTACCCATTGATTTCATGAGCAATGAATGGGGGATAGCTTGGAAAGAATGCTTGCTATGCTGGGCAACATTGGTAGGGTTTAAGTTGCTGTGAGTTGTGAAACTGTTTATAGAATAATCCCTTGAATGAGGTTGTCTCTGAATTAGAATTCAGAAAAAGAGCTTATGAAAAATATCTGTAGCCCTCCAGAGGATATTGAGCACTGCAAAGGGCTTCCTGCTTTTTATATCGTCCATTTTTTCTGCATTTATGCATTTATGCCTAGTACAAAAGACTGCAACCAATTGAGAATACAAATAAGTGGGGTTGGTGTTCCAGGCCCGGAGCGCGCACCTCTGCAACTATTTACTCCTATTTGCAGAACTGGTGGTGGTGACTGAGCTCATGGCTTCTGCCTTCATCTCTACAGCTTCTACCCCGGCGAGGCCCTCCAAATCTAGCCAGTGAACCCAGCCATCACTAGAAAAATGACCGAAGAACCCATAAAAGAGAACCTGAGCGCCCCAAAGCCTCCCACATCTATAATGATGGAGAAAAGTCCCAAGGCTTCACCCAAGGGTGAAGTCGTGATCACCACCGTCCCTTTGGTCAGCGAGGTTCAGCTGATGGCCGCCACAGGAGGTGCCGAACTCTCCTGCTACCGCTGCATCATCCCCTTCGCTGTGGTGGTTTTCATCGCCGGGATTGTGGTCACCGCGGTGGCTTACAGCTTCAATTCCCACGGTTCCATCATCTCCATCCTCGGCCTGGTCCTTCTGTCTTCTGGACTTTTTTTACTGGCTTCCAGTGCTTTGTGCTGGAAAGTGAGACAAAGGAGCAAGAAAGGCAAGAGACGGGAGAGTCAGACAGCTCTCGTGGCCAATCAGAGAAGCTTGTTTGCTTAAGACTGAGTGACATCAAATGAGAAATGTCACCCGAAAAACTTGCTCCCACTTGCTGAGTTCATTGAAAGAGAAAGGTTAAGAGAGCGCTCCTTCGTAAGGAATGGGTGATCTTCCTTTAGGTCTTCTCTGTGAATGTCTTCTTTAACGACAAACTTAATCCTAAGGGCTATTTCTGAGATGAAGGAATCAACTTTCTCTTTACCTTAGATCTCCTTCGTAAGGAATGGGTGATCTTCCTTTAGGTCTTCTCTGTGAATGTCTGCTTTAACGACAAACTTAATCCCAAGGGCTATTTCTGAGATGAAGGAATCAACTTTCTCTTTACCTTAGACATTTGGCGGGGCATGGGCAGTGTACAGTGTGAGATAACATTTGGCTCATCTTGGAAACTAGCCATGGAATTAGGAGAAGATAACAAGGTAGTTCTGGTGCACCAGGCACCTGGTTCCAAAAGAAAGAACCCGCACTCTAAGTCTTATTAGAAAAGCTGTTCTGCTAAACAAAGGTCTACACTGGCTTGCATTCCCATACAGCTATGAAATTCTGTTATATTTTTTCAAGAAGTTGATTCTCTGGTCTCCTTTTTTATATTTCACTTTCAGTAACTCATGACGGGTGGTACTTTATCTTGAAGAATAGACTAATATTTTTTATATTTTAACAATGGATATAGCCTTATGTGATTGTAACAATGTGTCAGAAATAAAATAGAAAGGGATAGGTAATAAATGATACAGGGGTTAAATTCCTACTGAAATAACCCAATATCGCACTTTTGATGATTTTTATACAAAAGTTTAATGTACATTTCACTCAAAATAATAAATACTCGTTGCTGCTGAAACTTTTCTAAAAAATATTTTATTATTTTTATTTTATGTGTATGAGTGTATTGCCTGCATGTGTATAAGTGTACCTGTGTCATACAATACCCATGGAGATCAGAAGAGGGCGTCAGACTCTCCTGGAAATGGAATTAGGGATGGTTGTTAGACGCCATGTGGGTGCTAGGAATTGTACCCGGGTCGTCTGCAAGAGCAGACAGTGTTCTTAACCACTGAGCCGTCTCTCCAGCCTCTGTCATCATTTTGTTGCTGTACCAAATTATTCATTCTTTTCCTCGCCTTGCTTGCAAAGTATCAATTGTATTTTTTCATAAAATGAACAGGTTGTTTCTTCTGGAAGATTTTTATTTTCATCTTGTGATGAAATTTGCTCACTTAGGCTTACTAAATTTAAAGAGTTTCTAAGAATACTGTTAGGAAATCAGTGCCTGGAGCCAGATATTTCATAATGTTCTATTAAATATGCATTACATTTTTATTGATTTAATCATAAATTATTATGATGGGCCTTCACATATGTTTCTGAGTGCCAACTACATGTCAGTGATGGAACTTTGTAGGTTGTTTATTCAGTTGACTCTAATACCACTCAAAAAGTGTTTGAATTCTTCTGTGGATCTGAGTTATTCCATACCTAAAACTCTATCCCATAAATCTGCAAGCATTATTCCTCATTAAGCCAGAGCAAGAGGATGATGCCTTAGAACTCGAGAGAAAACCCTACGTGGCGCATTCCACGTAAGACATTCTCTTAAAGGACTAAATATGTCACTAAATATGACAGGAACCCTCTAACACCAGCTGCTTTCCCGTCCTTGGTTGCTTTCAAAGCTAGAAACACCTTAATGATTTTTGGAGAGCAGATGGCGGCATGTGTAGGTCACTGTTTCTCAGCACCAGCTAGCAGTGAGCGAACAGGGGCTCCTGACAGGGCGAATGCTGCTGTGTTGATGTATATTGCTGTCTCTTTTCTGATCAGAGATGGTCAAAGATATCCCACTGCTTTCTGAAGATGTTTCTCAGAGAAGGTTCAAGGTTCTCCAGGCTGCTCTCAACATCTATCAGCTTCACTCCCATTCCTCCAAACCCTCCTTATGAATCCAGTCAGACTAGACCAGACTTGACCAGGCTCTGCTTTCCCTGCCTCTGTGTCTCCAGACTTGCCTTTTCTCCCCCTTGTAATCTCAGTACCATCCTTCTCTCTGGCCCAAACTACGCAGACCCTGCTTCCTGCCAGCACTCCATCTCCAAAGCTAACTCCTCTGCAATCTGAATACAACTGCTTTTTCATCAGCCATTGTTTACTAGTATTTATGGCACCTTCCAGTTTCTGTCATGTTGGTGGCATGAATGTTTTATCCTCTTCTAAACCTTCTTAGGCATATCCTGAATAATAAACTGTATGCTATATCCAGTGTGCTGGCTAGTAGACTGTCTTGCGTAAGTAAGAAGCTTAGCATGCACCCAAATGAGGTGTTAGATGAACTCAAGAATGGAAAGCTGGAAAGCCATCGGTTTATCCTCAATTATAGCCCATTCTTATCTCTGAAAAGGAAATATTTTGATTTTTAACTTCACCTAGAATAGGTTACCACACACTCCCAACTCTACTATAAACACCAGGTTTAGGTGAAGAAACTGTCCCTTTCAGCCTTTCCTCCGGCCCTTCAAAACGCTGGAAAAGCAAATTCAGGAATTACTTCTGGCCACAAGGGGGCCTCATGCTGCTACTAGAGTCCTCAAAGAAATCCTATGGAAGGACTTGAACTGCAAGGACTAAAAGAGGATGGAGTCTGGGGCTAGTGATATCTTCTAGCTGTGAGGAGCTGGAGAAGATTCCTCGAGTGGCCCATCTCCCTTAGCATCTCTGTTTTGCACAGCAGGGAATCTCCTAGTGTGTGGCAGCTCCCTGTGAGGAGCCACACGGCACAGTAAAGGGTATGTGTTTCTGCAGAGCTGTAAGGTGTGGAGAAAGTCCTATATGAATCCCAACTCCTATAAGAAAAACAAACAAGCTTTGAATTACAATCATAATTATAACATGTCTTAAGCAAAATCTATCTTTACAAATAGTTCTATTATATAGGCAAGTAAGTGTTCAATGTATACACACACACTGTGCCTGCCTCCATGTATGTGTATATATATGCAGGATTCCACAGCTCAGGTTGGTTTCAGCCTCTCTCTCTCTCTCTCTCTCTCTCTCTCTCTCTCTCTCTCTCCCCCCCACCGCCCCAGACTGGCTTTGAACTTGTAGTAGTCCTCTTATGTGTGCCTCCTGAGTGTTAGAATTACAAGTCACCACACGTGGTTCACCTCACTATATTTAAAGGGTCATTCAATTTAAGAATCAGAAACCAGGAAAAATGGCAGAGTTTCCCTGAAGCCCTGCACATCCTGAATGCACCGGAACAGCTTTGATTTTTATCATATGCAGCAGGTTCCCAGCCCAGCTGAGAACCACAGCCATCTGGAAGCTCTGTTCTCTCTACTGTTTTGGATAACCTAGGGACCCTTGTCTAGAGAAGGTACTCAGAAAGGCCATGCAGGCAGTGACATGACTGAGGCCAGAGGATAGATCTAGAAGTACTGGATCACAGATGCTCAAACCTACCTCTTGTTTCTAACCTCCACCATTCCTTAGAGAGACAGAGAGAAAAGGAGATGGAGGGGGAGGAGGTGGCAGAAAAAGGAGGAAGTGAGGGGCAGGAGAGTAGAGTAGGGACTTACAGGAGGGAGGGACAGGGAGAGAGGGAGAGAAGGAGAGAGACAGAGAGAGAGAGACAGACAGAGAGAGAGAGAGACAGAGAGACAGAAACAGAGATATCTTCCTTGGCCTCTCCTGGGATGTGTTATGGTTTTGAACTTGGAAGATCTGATTATAAATGTCACACTCTCCTGTTAAACTAGCCAGGTGATCTTAAGAAGTTAAGTTTCATCTTCAAAATAAGGTTAGGGATAAAGAAAAGATTTTAATTTTATAATCTATAAAGTACTCTAGGGACTAGAGAGATAGTGCAGTGGTTAAGAGCTCTTGCTACTCTTGCAGAGGACTCAAATTTGGTTCCCAGTCCTGACATTCTCTGGACTCCTCCAGCATTGGCACACATGCACAAACCCACACCTAGACATATAAGGCATCCACGTAATTAAAAATAAGACAAAGACTACTATCCTCAGGCCTCTTGGGGTAAGTCTATAGCGCAGCTCTCCGCGCCGGGACTCCCTAAGCCTCATTCACCCTTCCATCCCCCCCCCCCCCCCCCCTGTTCTTTACCCTCCGTTTGGCGC